GGCCTCCTGTCTGCAAAACATACTGGGACCCTTTGAGCTGTCTCTTCAGACCTGTTTCCTCATTCAGCTTGGAAGTCCTGGCCAGAGAGCAGATTGCTGGATCCTGGCTCTCAGAAGAGTACACAGTGACTCTGACCCTTGACTTGGAACACAGTTTGCAGAGGGAAGGAAGGGCTAGGCCAATGGCCAAAGAGTCCATGAAGATTTGTTTGGTTTCAGGTTTTGACTGCTCTTCCTAGGACCTGACTGGCAAATGCCCATTCTTCCGTTAGGATGAGCCACTGCTGCCAAGTCCAGTGCTGCTGGCTTCTGGGCTGTCTGGTGACTCTGAGTCTTGCCGTAGTTCCACACTCTGGGCTGGTCAACCTCATTTGCTACAGTCTACCAGTGGGTTGGGGGCTGCTTGATTTGTACACTAAAAGCCAAGTCACCTCACTGTGCTTGTTTTTGGTTGTTTTTTTGGTGCTGGGGTTGAACCCAGGAATTTTATATGCAAAGCAAATTCTCTGTCACTAACCCACAACTCTGGTCAATAATTTTTTTTTGTTTGTTTTTGTTCTTGGGTCACACCAGGCGATGCTCAGGGCTTACTCCTGGCTTTGCACTCAGGAATTATTTCTGGCAGTGCTTGGGGGGGATCATATGGGATGCCATGGATGGAACCCAGGTTGGCTGTGTGCAAGCCTTACCCACTGTGCTATTGCTTTGGTGCTCAATAATTGGTTTTTCTTTGTTTGGGGTTTTTGGGTCACACCTGGTGCTCACTCAGGGTCTACTCCTGACTTTGCTCTGGGATTACTCTTGGCTGTATGTAGTCGGGGAACCGTGTCCTGAGATTCAAACCAGGACTTCCTCCCACATGCAAAGCAGGTGCTCCAGACCAGCATTTTGCAACCGAAGGTCATATGGTTCCTTGTGGATTCCCAGGATATGCCACAGGGGTTACAGGAGAAAACTGCTTAAGTGAGGAGTCATGGCAGAGATTAGGGGACCAACTGGTATGACAGGAGGCCATAGGATGGAATTGGGAGAGGGGCACAGTCAGGAAGAAATTGAGAAACACTGCTCTAGCCCATTGAGCTCTCTCTCCAGCACCCCTGCCCCCTCCCAAATAAATGGTGTTATAGAAGAGAAAGAAGTACCGACAGAAGCAAAAGTTCCAGTTGGGAAGCCAAAGAGGAAGAGGTGGAAATTGCACTTGAGTTGGAGAGATATTACAGCAGGTAGGATGCTTGCCTTGCATGCAGCTGGTCTGGGTTCCATCTCACACACTCCATAATGGTTCCGGAGCACTGCCAGGAGTGATCCCTGAGTGGAGTCTAAAGAGCACTTCCCTGCGAGGTGTGGCCCAACACCTTTGTTCCCCCAAGCCAAATCTCATGTAAGACACTTTCAGAAAACTTATAATTTTGGTTTCGTTTTCTGTGTTGTTGGTGCCAGACCTCACATATGTGAGGCAAGCAATCTACCAATAAGCTTACATCCTCAGCCCCTGCTTCTTCTGTCATCACAGAAGCCAACCCAGAGCAGAGAGGCATCTCCAGCCAAACTTTTGTCATGATGTCGAAGGTGACAAACATGAAGACGACAATTTCCAAGGAGTTTCTGCCAGCTGAGAGTCTTTATTCCAATTTCTAGTGTTGCTAGTTTCCTTTATTCCAAATCTAGTGTTCCTCTTTTTGTAGCTCCACTAATGCTTCTGTAGTCAGAATCATGTGATGCAAAGGTAAGGGAGCTTGCATGCTTGTGTTCAAACAATTCAATTTACTAAGAGGCAAGAGAGAGAAGAACAGCATGACCAAGGGCAGGTATTGGGAGCATTAGGGGCACCCTTGAACCACAGGGGTTGCTAGCTGCAAAAACAGAATGAATAAGCTCCATGAGCATTGGAGGAAAGGTCTAGGAATCTCCCGAAAGAGCTCAACCCCATTATTCTCGCCAATTCTTGCTATTTAATCTCGTCAGAAATGCCCACAGCTGGTCAATGAAATTGAAATTTGTTAGTTCTTCAAATGAGCTTATTCAGATGTAATTTCTGTCATTCTAATTCAGAAATTGTGTAATACTCATCTGAACACACAACTGATCAGTTTGTTCCTGGTTGGCACATCACATTTTATATGCACACCCTCAACCGTGAAGTATCAAGTCTGCATTGTTTGGTCATCATCTGTGATGGGGCATTTGTCTGTAGAGAGAATAGGTAAAGCACACAAAATTCATACTTTACATGATGCCTTGTGTAATGACCCTATATTCCTTAGATGTATTATAAGACATATTCTTTAATTCTGTTGTTATATAACTGATGTGCTAAAATTGTTGTGAATATATTCTGATCACTATGATAGTTACCTATCTTTTTAGAACATTATTTATTTTTGTGTTTTTGGTCACACCCAGCAGTGCTCAGGGTTACTCTTAGTTCTGCACTCAAAAAATACTCCTGACTCCTGGTGGTGCTTGGGGAACCATATGGGATGCTGGGGATCAAACCCAGGTTGGCTGAGTGCAAGGCAAGGACCCTACCCATCTCACTCTACTATCTCTCCATCCCTATTGGAACAGTCTAACAAGGTCCTCATGAGATGCTTACTCTTCAAGGCAGAGATTGTGGACAATATAATAGTGACATTGTTCTGACCTTCATTTTTTATTTTTTGGGGTGGGATATTTGGATCACACTGGCAGTACACAGGGTTACTTCTAGCAGTGCTCAGGGACAATATTCAACGCCAGGGATGGAGTTGGTGTTGGTCACATGCAAAATAAGAGCTGTAACTACTGTTCTCTCTACTAACCCTGTTCTAGCACTTTTTAATACTTCATAACAAAACTATCCTCAGAACCAAAAGGCCAAGCCATATTTTATATTTTTGGGCCACACCCAGTGGTGTTTGAGGGATCATGTGGTACTTGGAGATAAAATCCAGGGCTCCTGCACACAAAGCATGAACTCTAGCTCTTTAAGCCAACTCTGAGGGCCCATATATGTGTGTGCATGTATATAAATATACGTGTGTGTGTGTATATATATACATATAATGTATGTGTAATTACTTAACATTTAATTTTAGGCCACACCTGGTGGTGCTTGGGGGATATTCCTGGCTCAGTGTCTCCATCTTGCCAACTTATCCTTACCCAGGGATTTCTCCTGGTGATACTGAGATTAAACTGGGGGCTCCTACATGCAAAGCATGTGTTCCAACTTTTGAACTATGAACCCAAGCCCCATATTTTATTTTTTTTGGGGGGGTCATCCCCAAATTTCATTTTAAAAACTTTGGAACCAGGCCAGTTGTGTTAGAAGAGTACTGAACTACCAGTTTTTTGGGCTACCTGTGGTTATGTGTTTGGACAATATTTGGGCTACTCAAAGTACTTAGGGACTACTCCTGACTGTCCTTTTTTTAAGATGCTTTAGCAGTGCTTGGAAGACATATAGTGCTAGGATCAAATCTGGACCTCCTGCATTCAAAGCACATACTCAGCCTATGAAGCTATCTCTCCAGTCCCCATCATTATTATTTTTTAAATAATGTAGGAGCACTGCTATTTATTCAGCCATTGATTAAGCTTATTGACTTGGGCATGAACTCCAGTGTTTGTTTTTAAGGCCACATACACTGATGTTCAGGGTTCACTCCTGCCTCTATGCACTGGGATAATTCCTGGCAGTTGTAACTTTGTATGACTGAAACCCAACCATGAACACTTTTGTAACTGTTTCACAGTGATTCAATTAAAAAAAGAAAGAAAAACAAACTCTTGGCAATGCTCAGGGGATCATACTGGGTATCAGGCATTGAACCTGGGTCATCCATGTGCAACACAAGTCCCTACCAACTGTACCCTCTCTGGTCCCACCATGAGTTTTGTTGTACTCATTACTTAGCCCTTTTGTATCTGCCAGATATCCTGCCCAGATGAAGACAAGTTCAAATTGAAATGTGATTTTGTAGTAGAATGAGCTTCCTTTGTTCACTGGGAAAGAAACTACGTATGTCATGCTATCATTGAGTGATTGCTAGCCCTGATTTATAGCCATGTTAGAGAAGGGGGGCCGGTAATATTGCCAGACTGAAAGTGATTTCCACTGGGTCTCACAGGTACAAGTATCTTCCCTAACAAGGGATATATTGTATGCCATTGTACACCATCCCCAAGAATTCAAATACTGTGCTCTGACAGTTAATTTATGTGCCATCTTGACTGCATCAAATATCAAATATCTGGGGTCTCCAGATATTTGGTCAAACATTTTGGGAGTTTCTGTGAGAATATTTTTGTTTTCCTTGTGTGTGTGTGTGTGTGTGTGTGTGTGTGTGTGTGTGTGTGTGTGTGTGTTTTGGGCCACACTCAGTGGTGCTCTGTGCTCAGGGATTATTCCTGGTTGGGGGTGGGGGGAGTCTGGAATCACATGGGGTGCTGCAAATAGAACCTGGATTGGTTACATGCAAGCTGTACTATCTCTCTAGCCTCTCTGTGAAGATATTTTTAGATGATATTAATATTTAATCAGTGGACTGAGTAAACTGAATAAAGCAGATCGACCTCCATAATGTGGCCTAATCCAGTCAGCTGAAGGCATAGAATAAAAAGCCTATCCCCCAAATAAGAATTTTCCTGCCTAATTACTCTCCAACTGGGATGCTAGCTCTTCCTGGTTGAGCCTTCTAATAAACAGATGGGAACTCTGTCAGCTCTTCTGGCTAAACTAAAGCCTTCAGACTAAACTAAAACTAAACCATCAGCTTTCCTGGGTCTCCAGTTTGCCCACTTACCCTTGCAAACCTCTATGATTGTATGGCTCACTTTCTTATAATAAATTGGTAACATTCAACTTTTTTCTTTTTTTCTGGAGAATATTGATCAACACACATACACTGGTTTCCTAATTTTCTAATTTTCATACCTTAACTCCAACAATTTCTTATCTGTCAAATGAGTGCTACAATGGAAGGTGTCCAGAGACAAGAGGAGAAACACAACTCAAGGCAGGAGCAGAAAATTAGACATGATTTGTCAGCCTTTATTAATCAAGTGTGAAGCCGAGCCCTAGAGTTTCCTTTAAAAAACCCCAACCTTTTACATGGCAAACAATGACTTAATTATATGTTCAATACTACAGAGCAAGAATTGATCACTTTCAAATCACTTGTTCTTTAGAGATTAAAATACAAGTGTTAAATGGATTAAAATAAAATTCTCCCCAATGATTTAAAAAATGATTCCAAATTGAAAGACATCTCAAACACGATATATAGGACTCAGGACAAAAAAAAAAAAAGGACAAAAAACCCTTAAACATTTTTACCTTTGAGGTAGCACAATGATGCTAAACTAGATTTTTTTTTATTACAATGATTTAAGAAACAATGAGCAATCACTCTTTTGCTCAAGGTGGGCTAAATGGGTGTGTAACCCCCCATGAGGTTAGTGACAGTTTTCTTTTTTTTTCTTTTTTTTCTTTTTTAAGTATAAAGATAGCCCTGCAGTGTGTAAAAGGAAACCCACAGGAAGGCTGCTTCCCACAAAATAGACATTATAATCACTGAGGAACGTCAGCAGTCAAGACAGGAGGAACAAGAGGTAATTTCAGTGGAAAAAAAAAAAACACCGAAATAACTTGTATCTTGGCAAGATTGGTTTACAAGTGCATGTCATGAACAAAAATTCCAACATTAGCCAACTAAAACAAAAGATAAAAGATGACATTCATGGGTCTTTTTCTTTTTTCTCTGTGCAAATAATGCTCTTTCAGCATTTCTACATGAAGCGACTGGACACTGACTCGACCTGGAAACAGTGTGTGCCCAGGGTGCTGCCAGGCGCTGGTGGACCTCTCAATGACTACTGTGAGCAAAGAATCTGGGCTGGAGTACCATTTCTTGTCACTCTGCTGCTGAACTGGCTCATTAAATCAGAAACGCTTTACAAGAGCTCTAAAAGAAGCTTTACTTTGATTTCTGAGACTCTAGCAATGGTATATATATGTATATATATACAAATTATATATAAAGAATAGCAACTACAAGGAGGGAGCACATGAACCTTCCCTTCAGAACACACCTAAGAGAGGAGAACGGATAACATAAATTGGGGGCCAGAAGAAGGATAACACTGCAGGTTGGACCTCAAGGCTCTTAGAACATTCTCTGCCATCCAAAATCAATGGCAAAGCCAGAAAAGAGGGCATGAAGTTCTAATCCAAAGATGAGAACAATATCAGACAAAGGAATCATCCTGATACATGCTCCTCTGTATGCAGCATCAGTACAGGGCAGGTCAACACCACAGCCTTGAGTTGGACCTGGTCTGTCATCTTTGATTCCCTGTGCTACGAAGAGAATCAGAACACTGTCAGACTCCTGGCAACATGTCCATGGCTGTGTCCTATTTTTTTTCTCATGCTGCTTCCTTTTAAAGATTCCCTTCTACAAGCCAACCCCCCAAGAAGTTCTGAATGCATTTGGAACCTATGTTGATGAACTGATAACCCACATGTCAAACTGTAGTTAGGGCAGGAACACAAACTTTTGATGAATTTTATGTTAAAACCATAACTTTCACTGAGTTTGGGGTGTCAAAAGGTCTTAGCGAAAAGGAAGGCTTACAAGGATTATGCAAAATGGTGTGATGAAAAGGCCCATTCCTAACAGTCTATAGAAATGACTCTTGCCTGGAGTACATAGCCAGCCTAAGTCATGCGGGCATGGGGAATGCATATGGGATATCTGCTCAGTGTTCAAACAGAATCCTTACATGGTCTGTGGATGCACCTCTGTGTTATTCCTGAAGCCCACTGTACCTAATATCTTTGCAAAAAATGGGTGTAGTTCTTGTCTTCTAAAGTGCGAGGTCTAGTTTCTTTGATACTAAAGCAACACCAGAGAAATAAAAAATTCATGGAAACTCATAGGGAAAAACACAGGGGACTTCAACAGTGCTAGTTGTCTGTTTTAGTCTTTCTTTCCACCTTTCAAAATTCTGAGGCTTGCAAGTCAGGCTACCTAGAGCAGCTCATAAAAAGTCCTACTTTTTGCTTCATGGACCCAAGAAAAAGGGAGAACTGGTAAAAGTTCCTTGTGGTGGATTATCAGTTTGGAATTCTCTCTTTTTTTTTTTTGGTGGTGCTAGGGATTGAACACATCCTAACACATGTAAGGCAAGTGCTTTACTGCTGAGCCACATCCACAGGTCCCAGTGTAGAAACTTTTGGACCACGATGTCCATGGCAAAAGTCCCTTGCTTGAGGGCAGTGGAAGATGGCCATGTAGGATCATTAACCACAACAGGAAAGCCCAATGTGTACTCTCTCAGGGACTCACTGAGTTATATAAGTTAAATCTAATCAAAAAGGATCTCTTGATTTAACTTAACAGAATCTTGACTATGAAATTCAAATTTATCTTTTATGCAAATTTCATGCTGCTCTTAGATCCCTTGTAGCATCTGATTCTGAGTTATTCTAAAGAAAAAAAAGTCTTATTTTGAAATATAGCTAACTAGGATGAGTCATCAGAATTATACCCAATTTAATTTAAAGGTTTAAAAGTTTTAAAATATAGCCTAACTTACTTTCCTCTGGATTAACAAATAAAATCCAAATACCCCAACATTTTAATTAGAAAGCTTTCTGCAGAAACTCTATGAAATTATACAAGATTCTAACTTCTTAAAAAGTCTAACAAAGAGTTTTTTTTTTTATGGTGACTATCAGCTGGCAAACTCCAAATATATGAATATATCTAAAGAGAATTTGTAAATACAAATTTTTTTGGTGTGGGGGGGTGCCACATCCTGGCAGTGCTCAGTGCTTATTCCTGGCTCTGTACTTAGGGAATCACTCCTGGTGTGCTTGGGGACCATATAAGGTGCTGGAGATTGAACCCAAGTTGGCCACATGCAAGGCAAATGCCCTATCTACTGTACTATCATTCTGGCCCAAGAAAAAAATTTCTTAAAAAAACAAAGCAAAATAAAACAAAATTGTTTTCTATTTAAATTATTTGAAAATTGATGACTCAACACCAAAGCTTTGCAACAAGTCTGGAGTAGAAGGAAAGGGTTCTCTATGTATAGACTTTTGCTGGTACACAGCTGGAAGAATAATGAAGCAAGAGATGGCAAGAGCTGCCCAAGACAGTATTGGGTCAGAAAAAAATGATGATGCCTCTTAGACCCTGGCTCCTTATAAACGGATAACAACTCATTCACACAAACTGCACAGAGAGTAAAAAAAAAAAAAAGACCCAACCCACCCCCAACCCAGAAAATGTTCCCTGGCTCTCTGCTACCTGATGAGTGTGCTAAATCCAAATTTCCTGCTCTAATGTGGGTTGAATGGTAAATCAATGTGCTTTGGAGTCTGGATCGGCTGGGCCCTTAAAAGGTTTTCCCCTAAATGTCACTGTGAGTTTGAAGAGAGCTGTAACGTGTGCAGGACACAGACAGTACAAAAAGCAGACGGCACAATGACACAGGACCATAGACCTCCTTCACATCTGCCACCATTTCCATCATAAATCCAAAGGCTACAACTATGAACAAATGTGGACTTTCTTAAAGGACAAATGACGGGATCAAAGGCTACAATACATCCTTCCTTTTGAGGAGGAGGATATCTATAACCATACAGTAGGTTTGTACAGACCTGTGGTGTCTTCCAAAAGCAAGAGTAGCAGCAAGAGAGGAAAGTAAGATGTTTACACTTTGGACTTTGTATCAGGCACTTAAATTGTTGGAGAGACATGCCATTTTGAACCAAAGATGTAAAAATTGGGTGGGGGTGATCATTCCAAGTGGTCTAATAATGGACTTTGAGAAGCAATGTGGAGGTGTGGGTGGAACCTCTGCCCATCCTTTAGTGCTGACTTTCAAGTTTTATAAATGCCCACAGCCACAGCAATGGCAGCGGTGGTGGCAACAGCAGAAACAGTTCTGTCATGTGTGTTCTGTGGCTGACTGGAAGGTTTTGGTGTCACACTGAGAAGGCTCTGAGGTGTGGTCCACCTATTGCCCAGGATCAGTCAGATCCATGCTGGAGCCAAACATCTTCACCAGCTGTTCCTCGTAGTTTGAGATGTTCCTCTTCATGATGTCCATGCAGGGCCCGAGAAGTCTCTCAAATGCTTGTACATCCATAACTGCAATGATAAGAGGAGGTGAGGGATAGAATGAATTCTCTACAACAAAAAATCCAATCATTTCACTCATTTTTCCCCCCTATACTTTATCTGGACCACACTGGGCAGTGCTTGGGGGATAATGGAGTTCCAGGAGGCGAATTCCTAGAACTCCATGATCCCCCAAACCTGGGTGAACTCCTACAGACAAAGCACAAGCCCAGTCCTTTCAGCTACCTCCCCAGTCCAAACCTTTTCCTATATATACCCACCCGTTCATGTTCTAGGAGATTAGATTTGGGGATACTGTGTAGCTGGAAAAGGAAGAATGCTTCTACATAAATATATCAAGACCACATCACCCAAGTTTCAGGCGCTTCAAAGTACAAACAGCACTTATTCTCTCTGCGCTCATGTTGCGCTCACCTTCCTCCATTATTTCTCTTTATACAGCTAGGGAGTCTTTTCTAATTCAGGGCTCATAGTTAGTGCTCAGTAATGTTTGGTAAAAGAAAAGTTTTTGTTCTGGGGTCATACCCAGTGGTGCTCAACACCTAACTTGGTGCTGAGGTTTCACTCCTGGTAGGCTCAGGGGACCATATGAGGCATCAGGGATTAGACCTTGGTCAGCTGTGTACAGGCAAATGCCCTACCTGCTGTACTCTTGCTCCAAGACTCAGTAAAAGAATACATTAACCTGGAACAGGGGATGTGACTCAGTAGCAGAGTGCCTACCATGGGGCATGAGGTTATGTTTTAATCCTTGGTACCACCCCACATGCCAAGTGCAATTCCCAGCTACAGAGCTGTTTTTTTTATCCTCGGTACCACACACACATATACACACAAATGCAATTTCCATTGCACTATGAACAGGTATGTGAGAACATTGCAAGTAAGTGTGAGACCCTTGGTGAGCACCTAACCAAAACTGTGCAAGCAAGGGCACATGCTCTACCTGGACAAGGCCCTAAGTCTGATCCCCAGCACTGCTGGGTATAGGCCCCACAATAAGAAGGATGACAAAAAGTCACCCATTTCTATTTTCACACAATCTTACCCAAGCCTAGTTTATTTCTAGTTGGAAAAAATTCAAGGCTTATTAATAGGGGGGAAATACTGCACATTTGGGACTTGGGAGATAATTTAAGTGGTGGAGCACGCACATAGCATATGAGGCCCCGAGTTCAATCTCTGGGGCCTCAGGGCTCTGAGCTGTTGGGTTATAGCACTGACTGCCACAAACTCAGCTGGGTCTGAGCACAGAATCATTAGGCCAAGCATCACTGTCCTGACTGTAGCACCTACATGAAAAAATTGGCTGAGGAGCTCGAGAGGTAAGTACAGTAAGTAATGCACTTGCCTTTCACACAGCTGACCCAAGTTCCATGCTTGGCACTTCATATGGTCTGTCACATCCTACCACAGTAAAGTCCTGAGCAGAACCAGATGTGGGCCAAAAATAACAATGAAAAAGAACAACAAAAAAAACCAACAGAAATACTCTATTTGGTTTTTAAGGATGAGAAATGTAGATAAACAATTTTCACAACACACTTTATAAAGGACCAATAAAAAAATATATATGTATATATGTATATATATATATATATATAGTTAAAGCATAGCAAATTAGGGGGCAAAAAGCATACAATTAATGCACACAATCATTTTCTTACCTAAGCATTTGACATCTCCCACCGCATAAGCCGACGCAGCTCTGGGCTTGTTGGTGACTAGCGCAAGCTCTCCAAAGTACTGCCCCTTATGGCAGCGGGCAATCTCCACCTCCTGGTTTGAATCATCCTTGTTTGCTTTAGTCTAGAGAGAGCAGAGAACAAGACAAACGTTGACTCCAGATTTGCAGATGGGTATGTCCAATTGCACAGGCTTTTATCTCCTTTCAGTACACACAATTACTGAGAAACGTACTTTGTAGACATTAAACTGTTATGTAAGTGGACTGACTTAATCGCAGTGGTCTGGCTGAGAGGAGTTGGGCTTTTACATGAGTCCTAATTCCTTTCAGGAAATGGCTAAAGAGCAAGAGATAATAATCAGACCATTGTCTTGGAAGACTTACATGTACACAATTTTCATTCTAGGGGTTGCCCACATGGAGATTCTTAACCAGAGATGTATAATTTCTATTATTTTCTGGGGTAACTCAGTGCTATTTCCCCTCTGGAAAAAAACCTTATATTCTATCTTGAATGAAAACCTTTCTCTCCTCATGTTTCCATAAATAAAACTATTTTAGGGTGTATGGTGCCGCCAGCAGGTCAATCTGTACCTGTGAGGCGAGTGCATCAGCAGCCTCATGGTGCCTTCAGACTTCCAGATACCCCAAAATTGCTGCTGTGCCTTTGGCCAGACCCCAAAAACTTGGGGCAAAGTTTACCAAGAAAGTAAACGGCCAAAAGTTAGGTATGTGGGAAACACACCCACAAACCACCTCCGGCTCAGCTATATAATTGGAGGCAAGGCCTCTTTGGTTCCTGATTGAACTGCTTAATGGACATGATCCCAGAGACTCAGAAACGAATCTCAGAACCCAGTGGCTTTAGGTAGAAATGCGTCTGGTCTCTGCAGTAGGCTACCGGTGCTGGGCCAACCCAGGTGGGAATAGGTTTCGTGCCTTGGCCTGTTCCCCCTGGCGGCCCAGTGGCCGCCATCCATCTGAGGCCACTGGATAGTCACATTTGGTCCCCCAGTGACGAGACACACAGGGCCTCACAGGATGGGGGTGGAGCCGGGCTTGTCCTCCCCACCCCAACGAGACCCCAAGTCATCGCCCACGAATGGCCTCTCTGGCTCCTGATCAAGCTGCTTAACGGCCATGATCCCAGAAACTCAGACAAATCTCAAAACCCAGTGGCTTTTGGCAGAAATGCATCCGGACTCCACAGTACGTTACTGTTGCTGGGCCACCCCAGGGAGGAAAGGGTGTTGTCCCTCTGCCTGCTCCCTCTTGGCGACTTGGTGGCTGTCATCCTCCAGAGGCCATTGGACAGTCAGGCTTGGGCCCGCAGTGACAAAACTTGTTGGGCCTCACGGGATTCGGGGGGAGGGGTGGAGCCGGGCCTGTCCTCCCCACCCCAACGAGACCCCAAGTCATCGCCCACGAACGGCCTCTCTGGCTCCTCATCAAGCTGCTCAATGGCCTTGATCCCAGAGACTCAGAAACAAATCTCGAAACCCAGCGGCTTTTGTCAGAAATGTGTCCGGACCCCGCAGTAGGTTACTGTCGCCGGGACGCCCCAGGGGGGAATGGGTGCTGTCCCTCCGCCTGCTCCCTCTTGGCGACTTGGTGGCTGTCATCCTCCAGAGGCCATTGGACAGTCAGGCTTGGGCCTGCAGTGACGAAACTTGTTGGGCCTCACGGAATGGGGGGGTGGGGGGGGGAGCCGGGCCTGTCCTCCCCACCTCAACGAGACCCCAAGTCATCGCCCACAAACGGCCTCTCTGGCTCCTCATCAAGCTGCTCAACCGCCATGATCCCAGAGACTCAGGAGCAGATCTCTAAACCCAGTGGCTTTTGGCAGAAATCCCTCCAGATTTAAGTGTTAAAATTTCGGAATTTCAAAACCACATGGCCCTACTGCAGCCACACGATATCATATGTTATTCATAACCAGCAATAGAACACAAATTGTCTATTGTTGCCTTTTCAGCAGATCTGAGTGTTGGGGTAAAATCTCAAATAATGGTGGGTCTGGTGTCGAAATAGTGAATGTGATCAAAGTAGAGAGAGAGTAATGTAGAAATCATCTGCCCCACAGGCAGGGGGAGGGTGTGGGATGGGGATATACTGGGATTTTTGGTGGTGGAGAATGGGCACTGGTGAAGGTACGGGTGTTTCATTGTATGACTGAGACTTAGACCCAAAAGCTTTGTAACTGCTCTCACGGTGATTCAATAAATAAAATGATAAAAAATGGAAAAAAAAAGTAAGGTGGAGTTCATGCACAATTCAATCAGCTAATCAGTGGCTGAATAAATAGCAGTACTCCTACAAAAATAAATAAATAAATAAATAAAACTATTTTATGGGCCTGGAGAGATAATACAGCGAGTAGAGCATTTGCTTTGCATGCGGCTGGCTCAGGTTTGATCCCTTGGCCTCTCACATGGTCCCCCTGAGCCCACCAGGAGTAATTCCTGAGTGCAGAGTCAGAAGTAACCCCTGAGCATTGCTAGGTGCAGCCTCCAAAACCAAATCAAAACAAAGAAACAAAACCCCAATTAAAACCAAACAAAAAACCCCAAAACAAAACTGAAGCTAAATATTTTACTTCATGTATATACAAAAAATATTTATATGTATGTGACATATAGGATAATATATTAAAATGTTAAGATATAATACATTAACATATCTCTACAATTCTGTATATTATAAATATATAGTGCTCTCCTTTAGTAGTGTTGACTTCTGAGGCACAGGATAAAGACGACCGAGTCTTTGCTAATTCTTTTTTCGCATGTGGAGAGGTGGGTATGGACCACATCAGGTGATGTTTAGAGGCTACTTCCAGAACTGTGCTCTGGAATCCCTCCCAGTGGTGCTCAGTGGACCAACCATACAGTTCTGGGGATCAAACTGGGTGAGCTGTACACAAGAAAAGCAACCTAATCCCTATGCTATATTGCCAGCCCAAATTCTTTCAAAATAATGTCTTTACTTCTCCAATGTAAGGAGTTATAATCTTGGGCTGCTTCTCTCACTTGAAATTGTGTCATTCTTCAACAATAATTTGTTTGTTTTTGGGCCACACTCACTGGTACTCTGGGGTTACTCTTGGCTCTGCACTCAGGAATTACTCCTGGTGGTACTTGGGAAACCAAATGGGATGTCCAGGACTGAACTTGCTGCATGTCATAGCAAGCGCCTAACTACTGCTATATTATTTCTCCTGCCCCTCCATATCCATTTTAAAAGTATATTGTGGGCTGGAGAGATAGTACAGAAGACATGATGCTTGCCTTGCATGTGGCCAACTCTGGCTCCATCCAAGCACCTCATACAATTCTGATCACTGTCTAGGGTCAGTGGGGTCTGTGTTGAGTGTTGAGCAGAGCCAGAAGCAGTCCCCAAGGACTACAAATTGGGGACCAAAACCCCCCAAAATAAAATAATTTCCCTATTTCCTTACTGATCTTTAAGTGGATAATTCCCAAATAATTATATAACAAAGGCAAAGTTTTTTTTTTTTTTAAATTTTATTGAATCACCGTGAGATAGTTACAAGCTTTCATGTTTGGGTTATAATCACACGATGATCAAAGACCCATCCCTTCACCAGTGCACATTCCCCACCACCAATATCCCCAGTAAACCCTCACTTTCCCACCCTCCCCCTGCCTCCATGGCAGACATTACTCCCCATAATCTCTCTCTACTTTTGGGCACTATGGTTTGCAATACAGACACTAAGAGGTTATCATGTTTGGTCTTTTATCTACTTTCTACACACATCTCCCATCCTGACCAATTCCTCCAGCCATCATTTTCTTAGTGATCCCTTCTCTATTCCAGCTGCCTTCTCCCCTTCAGGCAAAGATTTTAAAAACAAAAAGGTACTAAATCCCCATCAATGGATGGACTTAACGAGGAATCTTTGCCTATCACAGAGCTCACTTAATTGTGATAGTTTTGGTATGGTAAATAGGTTTTATATTAGTTACTTAAAGCAGTTATTTTCAGTGCTTATATCTGGATCTTCCTTGGTATAAGTTGCACCATCATCACACAAACTCACCTTGCTTTTAATTAAGATGCTCACTTCTCCGGACTCTATAATGTAAAAGCTGTCAGCCTTTTCACCCTGAAAAAGGAAAGTCAGACTTAATGCATATTTATGTACAAAAGGACAGAAAAGTAGATGTTTCTCACTACCTGAGTTCTGATCTGTATTTATTTTCCAGCTCTTCAAATCTATCAATGGTGAACATGACGATCCTGATTACGAACGATGTTAGCCCAATTAAGCTTAACACATATCATTCACTTTCTTTTTTTTTTTTTTTTTTTGCTTTTTGGGTTACACCCGGCAATACACAGGTGTTATTTCTGGCTCTGCACTCGGAAATTACTCCTGGAAGTGCTGGGGACTATATGGGATGCTGGGAATCGAACCCGGGTCGGCCATGTGCAAGGCAAATGCCCTACCCGTGGTGCTATCATTCCAGCCTCCATATCGTTCACTTTCTAAAATGTAGTATTTACATTTCTCTTCATAAATATGCCCAGGATGCTAACTCCACTGAAAACTCCTATTTTCATTGCCCGTATTGATCTGCCATTGCAATCTGTGACCAGGAATCAGTAGCCAACATTGCTAGAGACAATATCCAAGTGAACCCTGGCAAACCCCTTGTTATGAGGTGCCAGGATAATGTCTAACCATCAAGTGCAGCTTCTCCAAAGGACAGCACAGTCCTGAAGAAGGAGATGTGTTAATGTGAGCAGATGTCACCCTTATGTGACATAGGCTTTTCTTCTATTTTTTTTTCTTCTTCTTCTACTATTTGTTTTGATTTTAAAACCTTTGGCTGAACCAGCCATACAGGTAATGCAACAAATAACTTATTAAAAACTTGCTAAGTGCCAGTCACTATTCTAGACATGTGAGATATTATCAGTGGACAAAACAAATATTCTTACCCTTGTGCAACTTACAGTCTGGTAAGGTAAACACATTGAAAATAATCAACATAATAATCAGTAAATTATACTGTTGTGCTGAAAGGCGGTTAAGTGCTATAAGAAGAATGTAGGACAAGGAACCTGGGATCTAAACTGCTCGGGGAGGGAATGAAATAGAGCTTCAGTAAGAAAGAATTTTGAGCAAAGACTGGAAGGAGGCCAGGGTGAGGTGAGCAGATATGGGAGAAGAGGCTTTCAGGCACTTTACTCCCTGACTTTTCACTCTAACTTCTGGAGTAATGGGCATTTAAATTGGATAATTCACTACTAATCACGTGATCCTTCCATGTGAGTTTTATATCTTCTGTGACTGCACCAAGGGGTGGGCATGGGACTCAAGACTGACCACTGAGTCTTTCTTCCTCCTAGCCCAGTTCTGGGATCAAGGATATGCATTTCACCCAAACCAGAACCATTAGCTATCTTCCTAATACTTCTGCCAGATCACAGGCAGAGAACCTTATTCCTGGAAAAGTCCCACATACGTACATACATACATACATAGTGAAGCAAGAAAATTTTTATTAAAACTGATTTTATTTTATGAAGGGAGACAAAGGGAGATATGTGTGTTTAAGAGAGAACACAGGTATACAGGTTTCTCCAGAGTGGAAATAAGCAAGCAAAGAAACACAGAGACAAGCAAAGTGAAATATGTGTGCAGGGAGAACACAGGCTAGAAGAGTCAATCCCTAATGTCTTTTGCATATAATTTAAGTGCAAACAACAGTAGACAAGAGAAATCATTACTTAATATTCATTACATGATCCAATATAATGTGAGAGGATCTTACTAGAATTCAAAAGTCATATGAGAGATAGACACAAAGCAAATACTGAAGGCAATTTACAAACTTGTAGGAAAACATTGGTTTGTCCTTCCTCCCTGGCCATAGAGAGTTTAGGTTTACTGAGTAACACTCATCACAGTGCTCCCGAGGCACTTCCATTCTTCTGTGTTTATCTGTAACCTCTTTCTTTGTGCTCTGCTTTCCCAACCAGTCAATCACCTGTATCCCCTAATGAGAATCTGTTAACTTGTAAGGTCAGATCCTTCTAAGGAGACTGGATTTATATTCGTAAGATATATTTCACTTGCATTTTTTGCTTTTAGGGTCATACCTGGCGATGCACAGGGGTTACTCCTGGCTCTGCACTCAGGAATTATCCCAAGAGATATGCATGTCAGTGAGATGAACATCACTGGCTTCAGAGGACTCTGCAATGATGTCTATCCTCACAACAGGAGTTTTAAACAGTGAGAGGATAAATGACTGACCCAGGAGGTGAGCAGTTCCAGAAAGGATACGCCAAGGCCCTCACTCACCTGAGTGATTATGCGTTCTCCATCTTTATAGATCTTCTCTCCTATTACATCCACAATTTTCATTCGTTCTGAAACCTGAAACAGTGAACACACTCACAAATTATAAGGAAACCACCTCAAATGAAAGTTAAAAAATAACATCTCAGAAATCACTGTATCACTGTCATCTCGTTATTCATTAATTTACTCGAGTGTGCACCAGTAATGTCTCATTTGTCCTAGCCCTGAGATTTTAGCAGCCTTTCCTTACTCGTCTTTCCCAATGCTGCCGTACTGGAGGTTCTTTCAGGGTCAGGGGAATGAGGCGCATTATTGACACTGTTTTTGGCATATGGAATACGCCACGGGTAGCTTGCCAGGCTCTGCCATGACTAGTCAGAAGTGAACCGAAAAATTATGATTTGAAAATCAGATTATTATTAGTATATATATTTTGTTCTTGGGTCACATTTAATGGTGTTCAGGTGCTGCTCCTGGTGCTCGAGGGACCATGGCACCAGGGTTCAAACCAGCCCTCTTGCATGCAGTGTGCATTCTACCCCACTGAATCATCTCTACCCAAGCCCAAAATTACTTCCACTTCTTTTCCAAAATTCTCCATATTCTCAAAAAACTGGTTCTTATTCAAATAGACTTTACCTCTAGTGATTTAAGTAGGGGAACAGATTCAATAAATGCTTCAAACATCCTCCTTTTTCTTGCATTGTTTTTCACTATTATTCTTCTAAAAGTCACACGGTCCTACAAGAAAAAAAATGACAAAAATTCTGGTAAATGCCCGTGTAAGAGAACATTTGTAGCTTAAATAACAACAAATATTAGAGGACTATGGAAGATACTGGGTCAGTTGAGTGCTTAATGGTATTTCAATTTGAAATTCACAGGAAGAGAAAGATCTATAGGCGGCACCCGTTGAGTATTAAATCTGTCTCAGGCGGACAGATTTAGTACTCAATGGGTGCCACCTATGGGTCATTCATAGAATAAAAAAATTTAAAGTCCCACCCATTTGTGAGCCCAGAATCACAGCTCATTGTGAAAAGATGCACCTTCAGATAAAAGAGATAAAACATCAGACCAGGATTTTAAAAACCGCCAAGCTGAGACAATAGAAAATATAAGAACAACAGCAACAACAAAAATCTACAGTTCAAAACAGGCTACGACTTGTGCTGGGTGAAGTAAGTGCCACAAGAATTCCAAGAAAGTTGGAGTGAGTTGTCTAAGGATAGTTTTATTGCAAAAATATAAACTTGTTTGGGAACTCAAAGAAGGATATAACTTAAAATAACAGAGAGAGGAGAAGAAACTTGAGATAAAGGCAGTGATTCAGAAGGCGCCTTGATCCCAGCAGGTCACTGATGCATTTAGGGAAAGGAGCAGCCAGGTAGGAGCATGCAAATGCAGGGAGGGGTACAAAGCCAGCAGAGCAATGTGCTTAGCTGCAGGCTCTCAAACAGGTATTTATGAACCCAACTTAACTCTCTTATTCCTAAGATGTTAAGGAATGAAAAGATTTGAGGGATGATGTGGGTGATACCATCATAAGGCTGGCAGAATGAAAAACAGCAAGAGAGTGAGGGCATATCTGGCTCAGGCTCACTGCTTTTGTATTCTTGGTGAAAGAGTGGAAGTAGGGTGCAGAACGCAGAAAACTGAGCTGAGATGTATAAATAGATTTTACCAGCTCGCAGAAGACATTAGCTGTAGAATTACTAGACCCATCTCACGCCGTATTTTATTTGCTTACTGCATCCTAGGTATACTCCAATGTGAGCCATGGCAGACTTTTACTCCCTCCCTGAACTCCTGCACAAATAATGGCTTTTACATTTACACTGGTTCTTCACCCCCACCCTATTTGTATATTTGTATAGAAAAGTGCAATTTGTTTTCTTATTGCAGTGATGGTATATGTCATTTGCCATGAGTTTTTAAAAGCCAACATTAAAGACTTGTCTGTTTGGGGGAGGTGAGGTGTGAGCACACACAGTGATACTTAGGAGTTTACTCCTGGATCTGTAACAGGAATTACTCCTGGCAGTGCTCAGAGGACCAAATGGGTTGCTGGGGATTGAACCTGGGTTGGCCACATGCAAGGCAAGCTCCTTACCCACTGTACTATCTGGCCCTGAAAGAATTATCATTTTAATTTTTTTGCTTTTTGGGTCACAGCTGGTGATGCACAGGGGTTACTCCTGGCTCTACACCCTGGCGGTGGTCAGGGGACCATATGGGATGCTGGGAATCAAACCCAGGTCAGCCAAGTGCAAGGCCAACATCCTACTTGCTGTGCTATCACTCCAGCCCCAAGAATTATTATTTTAAATGTTAGTATTATCTGTGGAATGAACTCCAATACCCTCAAAGTTCAGTTCCTACATGTTTTCAGGGACAAAATAAGCCAAGAGTGCTGTGGAAAGAAAGCAATAATGGGAAAATGGGAATTTAAAGTTCCTTATTTTTGAGAAGGCTGTCAAAAACCTAGTATTTAAAAAATACATTTATAAGGTTATAAAGGTTACTGTAATTGCAATAGCAAAAACTATTTGTAGCTGAAGAGAAAAGAACTGATATCTTTTAAAGTGGCATCCATCATTGTGTTTTGATCCTTTCTATGCATGTTTTCTCACTTCCCAGAACTCCCATGAACGCAAGGCCAATTCAGTTCTTGAGACTGTGGGAGGTAATCACCAGACAGAAACGTAGCTTTCAATGAATTTCCAACTTACTGCGAAATAGTTAACTCCCTTAAGCAGCAGGTGTTCAGAATAGCAAATAGTTCAAAAGAGAAAAGATGCAAATAGTTCAAAAGGAAAAGACCCTCTCCTGTAACAGCAAGAGCTCCCTGAAAAAAAAAAACAGGCCTTTGACTTTCAATCAAGAGAGAACAGAAGAGCTGGGGGGTGTGGCTCAAAGATAGAACACAAGCCTCACCGGGCATGGGTTAGATCCCAATACTGCTACCAGAAAAAAAAAAGAGAATATTAGAGAATATGCATTAGTCAAGGTGCAGCTGACACCTGGAAGAGAAGGAATGTAGAATCCAATTTGAGAAACTCAATGAATACCAGGTCCTCCTTGCCTCAAGTTTTAAAGGCATTTCTAAGTCTTGGAAAACAAAAATAAATCAGGCAAAAGAGTATCTTTTGGGAGTCATTTTTCTGAAGGATATATAGAAGCTTTGGGAGGGTTGAGAGTCAGTGTAGAAAAAGTCTAAGAAGAGTCTTGACAGACAACATAACAGAGAGATGAAAAGCTAAAGGGGGAAGAAAAGACTGCAAAGGATAAGGCAAGAAAGGAGAAAGAGAGGGCCGGGAAGAGAAGGGTGGTGACTAATACCATAGCCATGAGGAGCAAAAGCCACATTCCAGACATCGAGGGAGCTGTGTCTCACTCCACTCTCCACTGTTGGGGATCAAACCCCAGTACCTCATACATATGAGGTACACATCCCTGACCCAGGAGTTCCTTTTTTTCCCCTTTCCTTTTTTGTGTCTTTGTGCCATGCTCTGCAGTGCTCAGGATTTACTCCTGGCTTTGGACTCAAGGAACCATACAGAGTCTTGGGGATCCAACTTGGACTGGCTTTGAGCAAAGCTAACTCCCTATCTGCTGTACTACTGGTCTGGCCACCTAATTTTTTATTTATTTATTTTTTTGCTTTTTGGGTTACACCCGGCAATGCATAGGGGTTACTCCTGGCTTTGTACTCAGGAGTTACTCCTGGCAGTGCTCAGGGGACCATATGGGATGCTGGGAATCGAATCCGGGTTAGCCACGTGCAGGGCAAAAGCCCTACCCACTGTGCTATCTCTCCAGCCCCCCTAATTTTTTTTTAATTTTCTACTTCATTTTTTCCTTGACCTACCTACAGATTCTCTAGAAATGTGCAAAGTCCAATGTTTGTAAATTTTCCTATTATCTACTAATGATTTTTCATCCCACTGAATAAACGATCTGGTTTCAATTTTCTTTACTATTTGTTAAATTTTATTTATTTTTAAATCTCAGCATACATTTTCTCTTGGTGAAGGTTCCAGGGATTGAATAATAATAATGTGCAGTCTACTACTATACGAAATTTAGTAGTAGAAAATTCAAGTAGATCCTTTTGGGTGACGGTATTGTTAAGTCCTTCTGTATGCTTCCTGTTTTTTCGTCTTTATTCCCCCCCCCCTCTTTTTGTCACACCCAGCAAGGCTCAGGACTTACTTCTGGCTCTGTGCTCAGGGATCACCCCTAGCAGAGCTTGGGGGGACATATGTGGTGCCAGGGATTGAACTGAGGTCAACCATGTGCAACCTTACCCATTGCATACTATCTCTGCAGCCCATGTTTCCTGATTTTTTAATTCTATTGATTGTTCAGTGATGCTAAAGTCTATGTCTATCATTACAAATTTATCTTTCTTGTTTTAATTATATCCATTTCTCATTTACTTTTCATTTGTGGGGGGGCATACCCATCTGTGCTCAAGATTTACTTCTGGCTCTGTACTTAGGGATCACTCTTGGCAATCAATTTTTGGGGCACTATTTATGGTGCTAGGGATTGAATGGGGATACCATCTGCAAGCCAAGCACCTAAAACCCTGTACTATCTCTCAGCCTCTCCCCATCCCACCAGCCCCCACTTTACCTGAGCCACATCACTGGCCCTTGATCCATTTTTTTGGGCATTATTTAGGGATATTATATCTTCTTGATACATTAACCCTTTTATTATTATATAATTTTTTTCCACTGTTTTAAAATGAGTTTATTAAAGAACGTTCTTAGGAAGGCAACAACAATGTATGATTTGTCACTTGAAAAAAGCTGCTTCTTCATGCTGTATCATAACAATTATGAGATGTTACAGAAGTACAGGTGTCTTTCTAATGGGATTCTGATAGTCTAGCAGTATAGTGATTTCTGCGATGCTAGAATAAATAAAAAAGTCTCTTCTGTACTTCTCTCCAAATAGTGGATAACGAGGACAGCATAAAAAAGCCACTGCATTTTCTATTCATTCTATAGTATTGGATCCGGTATTTTTACCATCACAGGCTACAATTTTCACTTTATCCACCTTAATAAGTTCTGTCACCTCTCTGAATTCAACATCATTCAATAAAAAGTCCACACATTGTTGCAAAATCCGTATATATTTAAAGAGCCCCTGATTGACTTGGTTCCTGACCCTCTGAGCCAGTGCTGAACTTATAGCCTTATCAAACTGGAGTAGGACTTGGAGAGCAAGTTGCAGGGTGATCTGCTGAGACTATATGAGCTCATCAAGGTTCTCCTGAAGACTGTTTCCCAAAGTAGTATTTCTGTACAACTGATATGCCATGGTTCAGGAGAAGAAGTTGTTTCCTTATTCAGGCTTGCATCAATACCCTGGGGGGATGGCGCTTCCCACCACTGAGCTCACGGAAGCCCAGCAATGAAGCCCGGCAGGAGATACCGAAGTTCACAACCTCTTCTCCGGACGCTACACGAACTGTGGAGCCACACCGATGACTACAATGTTTTTCTTTATCCCTATTAATTTTCTTACAATATATATTCTATCTGGTATTAATATAGTCATCTTTCATTTTTCTAAGTTTACTTAGTATATATATTTCTATCCTTTAACTATCAACCTACCAATGTAACTTTTTATTTTGTTTCTGGTTTTGGGGTCACACCTGGTGATGCTCAGGATACTCCTGGCAGTGCTCAGAAGACGATATGGCATGCTGGGGATCAAATCTGGGTCAGCCATATGCAAGGCAAGCACTCTACCTACTATAGTACCTTTCTGGCTCCTACGTATGTAACATTTTAAGTTTCTTATTGATAGATTATAGCTGGGTCACTTAATAAGGTATTTATTGTAGGGTTGGGGGTGTGGTTCAGTGGTAGAACAGATGCCACACATATGTGAGGCCCTGGGTCTGATCCCCAGCACTGCAAAACATTTTTAAAATTTCTGCCAGTTTACCTAATTGGTATATTTAGATCAACTATCTAGCTACCGAGAGTATCTCGCCCGCACAGCAAAGCCTGGGAAGCTACCCATGACGTATTCAATATGCCAAACACAGTAACAACAAGTCTCACAATGGAGATGTTACTGGGCCCACTCGAGCAAATTGATGAACAATGGGAGGACAGTGCTACAGTGCTACAGATCATCTATATTTATGTTAACTGTTTTTGTTTTTTGTTTTGGGGCCTATGCTCAGGGGTTACTACTGGCTCTGCACTCAGAAATTCCTCCTGGCAGTGCTTCCCCTGACCATATGGGATTCTGGGGATCAAACCTGAGTTGGTAACATACAAGGCAAGTGCCCTACCCACTGCACAGTTGCCCAGTATGGTAACAGTTCTTGTATCAGAGCTTAAGCATACCTTTCATTGTGTGTTTCCTTTTGCTCTCTATTTTTTTGTCCCTCTTACTTTACTTTTCTTTTTGGTTACTTGAATGTTTTCTAAAATTCCATTTTATTTATAATTTCTGATTTGTGGAGCTCATTGTACAGATTATTTTTAGTGTTTATCCTAGGATTTGTATAACATATAACTTAACACAATCTACTGATGTAAACATTTTACTAGTTTGAATTGATAGGGTAGTTTTATTCCATTCAGGTCCTTTTACCTTCCTCCCAGTTTGAGTATAATTATCTTAAGTATTCTTTCACATACATCAATAATATCAAAGTTTATGGCTTCTAACATAATTTAAACAACTGAAAAAGGAAGACACTCTTTTATATTTACCCACACACTTATTTTTTCTTTTGTTCTTTCTTCATTTTTTGATGTTCCAAATTTCTTTATCACTTTCTGATTGAAGAACTTCGTTTAGTCATTCTTTTAAGGTAGGCCTATTGATGAGAGACAAAGTCTCTTAGTTTTATTTGAGAATGTCTTCATTCCTGAAGACTCACTAGTGATAGTTTTGAGTATTAAAAGTTCTTTTCTTTCAGCACTTGAAAAATACCTTCCCACTTCTGGTCTCTATGAATGGGAAATCTGGTTGTCATTCAAATTGTTTCTCTATAGATAATGTATTGTTTCTCTTTAGTTGCTTTCAATTTTTTTCTATAGATTTCCAAGTTTTATTATTATGTATCTTGGCACAGATTTTGTGGAGCTTCTTGAATCTCTAGGTTTATTATATTTCATTACATTTGGGAAATTTCCAACTATTATTTATTTGTATAATCTTTTAGCTGTATATTGTTTATCTTCTCTGGGATTCCAATTATAACAAATGCCAGCTCTTTTGTTATCCCACAGATTGTTCACTTGCATTTCAGTTTATATTCCTACTATTCAGACTGTATAACTGGATAAATATTCTTATATTACTTTCAAAGACACTGATTCCTTCCTTTCATGTTAATTCTACTATTAAGCCTATTCAGAGTTATTCTGATTATTGTTTTCTAGTTTCCATTGGGCTTTTCTTTCTTCTGTTTCTCCATTAAGGTTTTATTTTTCCACTAGTTTCAAGTGTGTGAATTGTTTTTTGTTTGTTTGTTTTTTGTTCAGTTTGTTTGGTTTTGTTTTGGGGCATACGATGGTGCTCAGGGATCACTCCTGGCTCAGGGATCACTCTTGGCAGGCCTGAGAGACCATATGGGACGCCAGGGAACAAACCTGGGTTGGCCTCATGCAAGGCTCTACCAGCTGTACTATTGCCCCAGCCCCTCAAGTGTGTAATTGTTTGCTGAACACAAATGCTGTTGCTTTAAAATTCTAGTCAGAGCCTGGGTATAGCTCACTGAGGGTGTCTGTGACACGCTGAGTGGCCATGAGAGGCCATGAGTTAAAATAGGGTAGCAGTGCTGTTTGTGATACCTGGTGCCAGTACAAGAAAACAATACAACCCCTGGCGAAGTGGTGCAACCTGAGCACTGTAACCAAAATGTGCAGAAGAATCCCACAGAGATGAGTGACTCTTGGCGAAGAAAGTGCACAATCAAGCATGCAAGAATTATAACCAACTGTGCAACTCCTCCGCAAGTACCAGGATCAAGTATGAGAGTCCCAGTAACCTCAACAACATTAACAAGAAAAGAAAAAGAAAATCCTGTCAGTTAATTCCAACCTCTGTGGCATCTTATTTTCTCAGTTTTACAGTGTCCTCATTCTTGAGATAACAAGTGATTTTTCTATTTTATACTGGACATTTTTGGTATCAAAACACACAGCTCTCTAAGGTTTAAATTTTTCCTGCAGGCAGTTCACTTTTTAAATATCATGCACACGGGCACATGGGCACATTCCGCTCCCCTCTAGGCCCCACTGATACTACCATGAAGAGAAAGCAATTTCTTGCTAGTCCAGTAACCTTGGACAGGTAGATATAGTTTTTTTCACCTTGCTACTTAGCTAGAATGGAATGGTGGTATTTTTTTAAAAAAAGCTTGTGGGGAGAGGAGGGGGAGGGGAAGGGGAGGATGTCAGGGATCAAACTCACAGCTTAATGCTCGTAAAGCAAATATTACCACTGAGTTATATTCCTACCCCTGCATTAATTTTAAGACTGAGTTTATTTTCCCATATTTACTGATCTATCCTTGAGATTCTGTGAATCACTGAGCCACCAAGAATGTGAGCTATTCTTTTTGTTTGTCATTGTTTTTGCAGGGCTACAGTGGGTAGTATTTGGGGGCCATGGCCATTCCCTGTGTGCTCACAGGCCTCACGGTGCTAGGTATTGAACACCCAAGATTCACATTAGACAACGTGCTCTATCAATTGAGCCAGTTATCTGGTAATGGATGTGACCCATTCCTAAATCACTGTATATCTCATCTGTCTGCCTCCAAAGATCTAGTTTTCACCCACCATTAACTAACAACCTTTACTTATCTCAGAGTAATTCATTAATTGTCAGTATGCCACAAAAAGGTGCTCTATTATATTTTAAAAATGTAATTTATTATTCATTTTCAATTAATTTTTGTGTGTTGCCAGGAATCAAACTTAGGTCTCCTGCTTGCAAGGCATGTGCTTTACCATTGGATTATGCCCTGACCCCTAAAATGCAATTTAATTTGAGGAAACCTGTTGATAGTCGATGGTATACATGTAACTATGCAAGTAAGGTATACTGAAAAAAACTGCAAACAATGCCAGTATTTTACAAATGAAATATGAAATCTGTACAAGATGATGATTATTTTTAGAAGGAAGAAATTTTTAAGGCTTGATGCTGAAAGAATTAAGGTAGGCAATGTATAGGTAGGATAGGAATCACAGCAGTGCCATGCTGAAGACATTACAGGAAACTTCTTTCACAGAATTATTACTTTTGTAGTCATTTAAATTTACTGAATATTGGCACCAGCCATTAAATAAGTGGATGATTGAACACACCGAAAAGTTAGTTCTAGAGTACCTAGATATGGAAAACACATGTAGGCAGAGCTTTTAATAGCAACTGCTTTTCCAGGGTACTTCTTATGTGCAGAATTATCCCCCTTTGTAAAGAGCCTATCATCTGCAAACAGTTTGATTTCTTTCTTTCAAATCTACATGCCTTCCACATATCTGATAAAAACAGAAAATATAACAGGAGCTGACAAGACTGCAAAATTCGGAGTAAATGGTTTGATGAATCATTTAGAGAAATGGAAAAACACAAGAACTTCCACAATGTCTTACAAATGAACAGCTCAAGGACTGAGACCTAGAAATAAGGGGAGTTAATATTGCAACACAAAGAAAGAACCGACTCTCTAACTCACCAGTCCCCAAAGGGCACCTTCAGAAGTGGCGACAATGGTAGCAGCTCTCGGAGTGTTGTACATCAGAGCTAGTTCTCCAAAACTGCCACGGTTGTCATACTGACCAACAGAGCGGGTCTGATTATCTTTTGTTACTAATATGTCATAGGTTCCCCTGGAAGTATAATAAGAAACAACTCCATTTATTACTTGTAATAATATTAGGAACTGGCAGGGAGCATATGAATAGGAGACATGTCTGATGAAAAAATGTTAAAGAAAGATTCCCAACAGGTTTTTGCTAGTATGTAAAAATACAATATATTTTTCCATCTTGAGTTCATATTCAGTAACCTTGCTGAACTCATTTATTAAAGCAGGATTTTTTTTTGGTAGCACTATTAGGGATTTTTTTGTTTGCTTGTTTTTCTGGTTACATCCTTCAGAGCTTCTGCTGGCTCAGGGGCCTCTTGGGGGTTGCTCCAGCGGTGTTCAGAGGACCATGCAATGCCAGAGACTGAACCTAGGTTGCATGCATGTAAAGCATTTCTCTGGCCCACTTGAGATTTTCTTAAGGAGTCTATCATTTGCAAACAGTTTGATTTCTTTCTTTCAAATCTATATGCCTTTCCTCCCTCCCTCCTTCTTTTTGCTTCTATTTTCTTTGCTAAGCTTGTTGCATTGGCTGACCTCCCAGTACAAGTGATAAAATCAGATATCCTTGTCAAGTTTCCCATCTTGTTTTGGGTGGGGTGGGGCTACACCTGGAGGTTCTCAGGGCTTGCCCTTGGCTCTGCACTCAGGTATTACTCCTGGAGGTGCTCAAGGGACCATAGGGAATGTCAGGGATTGAACCTGGGTTGGCTGTAGTCAAAGTCCTCTGCTGTACTATCATTCTGGCCCCAAAAGCTCTTACCTTAATGGGAAAACATTACTCATCTTTTTACTATTAGAATGATGTTAGCTGTTCATTGTTTTATAAATGTCTTTCTTTTCTTTTTTTTTTTTTTGCTTTTTGGGTCACACCCAGCGATGCACAGGGGTTATTCCTGGCTCTGCACTCAGGAGTTACTCCTGGCGGTGCTCAGGGGACCAGATGGGATATTGGGAATTGAACCCGGGTCGGCCGCGTGCAAGGCAAACACCCTACCCACTGTGCTATTGCTCCAGCCCCAAGTCCTTTCTATTTAAGCTTGCTAAGAGATTGGTTTTGTTGCTGTTGTCACACCCAGGGGTGCTCAGGGAACCATATGGGATGCCAGGGATTGAGCCAGGTCAGCCATGTGCAAGGCCAGTGCCCTATTACTATCTTTCTAGCCCTGAGAAGTCTTTTCTTATCCTCTTTTTATTGCGGGGGAGGGTGAAGTGAGGTGGGGAGGGGTCCACGCCCAGCTGTGCTCAGAGCTTATTCTTGACTCTGTGCTCAGGGATCACTCCTGGTAGGATTTAGGGGACCATCTGGAGTGCAAAGGATCAAAACTGGGTCAGCCCTTTGCAAGGCCCCTACCCACTGTACTATCTCTCCAGTTATTTTTCTTACCCAGTTACTTTGCTCCAACTAAAGGGTCATCTTTTTAATCCCTGTTGTTACCACCATATTATGTAAAGATCTATTCGAGGGTCTTCACCTCCAAACAGATATTTTCTTGATTCAGGAACATACTTTTTTTAAAAACTCTTTTTTAAAAAAAATTTTTTATTAGCAAATCACTGTGAGGTACAGTTACAGTCTTACAAACTTTCATGCTTGTGTTTGAGTCATACAATGGTCAAGTATCCATCCCTCCACCAGTGCCCATTTTCCACTACCAATGGTCCCAGCATTCCTCCTCGTCCCCTCCATCCCACCCCGCCTCTGTGGCAGGGCATTTCCTTTTGCTCTCTTTCTCCTTTTAGGTGTTGTGATTTGCAGTAGAGATATTAAGTGGTCATCGTGTTCGTTCTATAGTCTACTTTCAGCCTGCATCTCCCATCCCAAGCAGGCCCTCCTAGCACCCTTTACTTGGTGGTCCCTTCTCTATCTGAGCTGCCTTTTCCTCCAGCAGGGAACATACATTTTTTAAAACATTTTCCTACTTGTTAACTGTCACTTTCAGTGCACACAAAAAGGTAACTGCAACACCTCTCAAAAACACAGGTGACAAACCGTTCCCTTTGCAGACAGGCAGCTGGCTATGTGCAGGGAGATACTTATTATTCAGACAGCAGGTGTCTGTGGGGTTCCCATCTTGGTGAAGGAGCAGAGGAAAGGATAAGGGGTAAAGCTAGCTGCTACAGGTAAAGATACAACTATAAAAATATTCTGGGGGCTGGAGTCATAGCACAGCAGGTAAGGTGCTTGCCTTGCATGCAGTCAAACTGGGTTTGATTCCCAGAATTCCATATGGTTCCCCGAGCACCACCAGGAGTAATACCTGAGTGCATGAACCAGGAGTAACCCCTGTGCATCACCAGGTGTGACCCAAAAAGCAAAAATAAATAAATAAATAAATAATTAAAATTCTGTATTTTTACATAGAAACTCATAGATGTCTATGTAGAAAGTGTAACAATAAAATAGTATTTTAAAAGCTGCTATTTGGAGGCAGGGAGAGGGCTTAGTCGGGGGTGGGGGGATACTGAGGATATTGGTGGTGGAAAATTTGCACTGGTGCAGGCATGGGTGTTCTATCATTGTATAACTGAAACTCAAACATGAAAGTTTTGTAACTGTAATAAATAAAATAAAACATATTGGCTAAATAAAAAGAATGGAGAGGGGCTGGAGAGATAGCACAGCGGGTAGGGCGTTTGCCTTGCACGTGGCCGACCCGGGTTCGATTCCCAGCGTCCCATATGGTCCCCTGAACACCGCCAGGAGTAACTCCTGAGTGCAGGGCCAGGAGTAACCCCTGAGCATTGCCAGGTGTGACCCAAAAAGGAAAAAAAAAAAAAGGAGAACTGCAAAAAAAAAAAGTGCTATTTGTATCATCTTTACTCTTCAAATAAAACATTTATTTTTTTCTTTTTGGGTCACACCCTGCGATGCACAAGGGTTACTCCAGGCTCTTCACTCAGGAATTACTCCTGGCAGTGCTCAGGGGACCATATGGGATGCTGGGAATCAAACTAGGGTCGGCTGCATGCAAGGAAAATGCCCTATCCGCTGTGCTATCACTCCAGTCCAAAATAAAACATTTCTTACCACCCACTTTCTTACTCTCTGGCCACTCTTTCTCTATTTTTTTCTTTTTGGAAAGCACTCTCAGCAGTGCTTGAGAGCTACAAGGACCGTGCCTAGCAGTGGTGGAGAGATGTGGGCATTATGTGGTGGGGGATATAATCTGGGATTAAAAGATTTAGATCAGAGGCAAAAGAGATAATACAGCAGGTAAGGCCTATGTGATTGACCTGGGTTCAATCTCTGACACCCCGTTTGGTCCCTTGAGCCCTGCCTGGAGTGGAGTGATTCCTGTGTGTAGAGCCAGGAATAAGCTCTGAGCCTTGAGTACCACTAGGCGTGGCAAAAAACAACAAAACTATATGTTTTTTCCAAGCTTTTTTCAGACCATGGCCTCCTGTGATCTTGTTTTCTTCCTGTGGCCTCCCAACCTACCAGTTGGCCCCCGCCAATTAATATGCTATTTTTACATGTGGCTTCTTGGAATACCCTGGGGACACACAGGGGGCCATATGGCTCCCTGTTGGGAAATGCTGACCTCAATGACAATGTAGCCCCATGGTGTTCTTAGGGAATTAATCCAATACTGGCAAATAGTATACTTAATAAAGTATATCTTGCCTAATAATAAAAGAAACTTTCTGCTGTGTTAGAAAGCAGAAATTATAGACTGCGCTGAAGAAACAGGACGGAAGTAGGCAATGAGGGACAGGCTGCAAACAGAGAGGCAAGCTTTGAGAAGCTTGTTCACTGGCCCTAAGTCCTCTCTAGGCTGAACAACGCAGAGTGAAACACTTATCCTGGATCACAAATCTCACTGAATGTGGTCACACTAAATGTGAAAATCCCATCTCCTACCGTTCTATGACATAAAAATTGTCTCCATCATCTCCTTGGTCAATGACATGCTCATCAACTTTGACTGTCCTTTCGAACATGGCATCAAGGACTTGAGAAAGTTGTTCCTGTAGGGTACACATAACAGAAAGAAAAGATGGCTATTATATTTGCAGGAGGGAAGATGACTATGCTTATCTCATTTTGGAATAAACAATGCAAACCTCCTATGTCCAAGTAGAAACCGAGGGCTGCCTGAGATCAATGCTTTCCTATGACCATTTAGCTTCCATGTTCCAACACAATGTCAAATCTTCTGAGGCAGCATTGTTTTAAAAATCTACTCTATATTTGGGGCTAGGGAAATAGTTCAAAGCGGCAGAGCTGAGTTTGATCCCCCGCACTGTATGGCCCCCTTGCACACTGTCCCACTGTCGCCCTACTGGCTCCAGCACCTCCAGGTCCAAGCAGTACTGTACTACCAGGTATAGGCGACTCTGCTTCCCAAGCAATTGTGGGGAGTCCCTGAGAAAGTGCAAAACTAACTCATCTGAATCATGGCATTCATTTTTCCAGTTACACTCTCCTAATACGACCTTCTTACATGTATTGGGATCATCAAATTTAAAGGTTGGGATACCCTGGAAAGTTATGAGCAACAAAACAACTGTTTCTAACTGCTCAGGTACATCACTTACCTAGTTAAACTTCAGTTTCTCCATAAGTAAAAGTGTTTAATAAACTGTTTATAGATCATGAATTGTTATAAATAAGAAAAATCTAAGGAAATTATCATATAGCAGGTACTCAATAAATAAGATCTACTATTTGAGATCTATTAGCTAAGTGAGATCTATTAAAAGATAACTAAAATTCCTCAAAGATGTATATAAAATACATACAGTTACTTACCAATGCTACCTGCCATAACCAGAAAGTAACTATGCAGACAAATATAAGAAGAAGAATACAATGCTATTAAATTAAAACAAAGCAGTGATCTCAGACTTGAACTATTATCTTTCTCTCAGGGACATCAGTACCTGTTTGGGGGGGGGGGGGGTGGTAATGGAGGTATACCAGCTTCAACAAAAGATGTGGCTTGAATATATGGCAAAAAAATAATTTTATTGCTGCATTATACTACGTGATTTGTGTTCTGTCAGTGATAGTGTGCTACCTAAAACAAATGGAATAACCAAAAGCTATCTCTTTAATTCCATAGCTCCATAAGTGCTCTATTATACTGTACAAGTTAACACTAAAATTGAGGGTCTGCTTCTCATGTGCCATCTACTTTCACGTGGAATGTGACTGCAAAGTGGCCAGAAATTTTCTATTTAAATCCAAACAACCCATATTTTCACTTTATGGACCAAACACACAGTAACATATGTTACTCTCTGGACCGTACAGTGGAATCCTATGTTCTGAGTGATTCTTTTTCTGGCCTGGAATCTTCTAAAAAAATCAATGTCATAAAGTGTGAGCAGAGCATTCTAGGGGACTAATATAACTGCAAAATCCAAACACACTGTGATTCAAAATGAAAAACAGTAAGGCCTACTCTTCAGTTCTGTGCTCTCTCTTGAACACGTATCTTGCTTGCTTATCTCGATGTCTATTTGCTTGCCTGCTCACTCAAGCTTGTTTTCTGTCTTGAACTCAGGTTCCTTTCCTTCTACCCACCTCCTGTATCTTTCTAAGTAAATTTTGTTCAATAAAAACTTTTTTCTACCAAGTAAAGGATGTTTGGAGGACTCACTTGGGAAGCGAGATGCATGCTGAAAGTAGACTACAGATCGAACACGATGGCTACTAAATACCTCTATTGCAAACTACAACACCCTAAAGGAAAGAGAGAGCAAAAGGGAATGCCCTGCTACAGAGGCGGGGTGGGTTGGGGGGGTGGGAGGGCTACTGGGATCATTGGTGGTGGAGAATGGGTGCTCAATCATTGTATAACTGAAACCCAAGCACGATAGTTTGTAAGTCTATAAATGTACCTCATGGTGTTTCACTAAAAAAACAAAAACAAACAAAAAAATTATCTTGTTTCATTAAAAAACAAGCAAACAAAACATAACCAAAAAGCTGTGGAGAACTTCACTAGGAAAATATAAACTGCACTATAGGTAATATATCAATGTTAAATTTCTTGGGTTTGATGATGGCATTGTGTTAATGCAGAATATTGTTATTCTTGGAAAATATGACGTATTTAGTGGTTAAGAATCATGACATTAAAACATACTATATATGACCCCATCCAAAAGAAAAAAGTTTACATATGTGTTTGTACACACACACACACACACACACACACACACACACACACACACACAAGATTCAATCCCTGGCATCCCATATGATCCCCTGAATACTGAAAAAAAAAAAGAAAAAAAAAAAAAGAAAAAAAAAAAGAAAAAAAAAAAGAGAAAATATCAGAAAAGAAATTTTGAGTTCAGTCCTGGCGATGCTCCAGGATTCCTTACTCCTGATTCTGTGCTCAGGGGTCATTCCTGGGGCCATATCTGATGCCAGGGTATCAAACTCAGTTCAGCATGTCTTCTACACTGGACTATCTCTGAGGCCCAACACCAATACCTTTTATAAGCAGCTTTTCCAAGCCTTTTTTTCCTTTTTTTTTTTTGGGGGGGGGGGATGTTGGTGAGGGAGTTATATCCAGCAGTGCTCAGAGCTACACCCAGGAGTGCTCAGAACTTACTCTTGGCTCTACACTCAGGGAATCATTCCTGGAGCAGACCAAATGGATGGGTGCATGGGATCAAATCCAGGTAGGCTGCATGCAAGCAAATACCCTACCTTCTGTACTCTTGCTCTGGCTCCTCCAGGCTTTTCTTAAGCTCATATTTCTTATTTTAACCTTAGACTAACAAACTCTGATTAAAGTTCTGGCTTTTCTTATAATCACAGAGCTACCAAACAGACTCGATAGACAGACACCAAGGGTGGTAGATTCATTTAATAAATATATAATGAACAAATAGATTACTAGAGAGGGTTGTGGTGATGTTTTCAAAAGGCATACTTTGCAGGAGTTGGGTAAAAGGGGAATGCTAATCCCACTAGGGCTAGCAGTTTAGTTATTCATGTTGTTTCAGTACTCGGCCCTCAATAAGAAACATAGAGAGTTGTAGATTCCTACAAATTCAGGAGGTTTTCAATGCTTTTTATCTCCATCAGTGGAGGAATGACAAGTCTAGGTATACACTCTGTGTATATGTGTGTTGTTGATAATAGAAGGAGTACTACAGATACATGCACTATTTTTTTATTTTGGGGCCACACCTGGGAGTGTTCAGGGACCACTCATGGCAGGCTCAGGGAAACACAGAAGGTGTCAGGGGTCAAACCCAGGCAAGCGGCATGAAAGGAAAGTGCCCTACTTGCTATACTACTGTTCCAGGCACCAGACACACACACTCTGAATTCTTACCATACCAAGCTTGATATAATCTTGGAAAGGTAATCACAAGAGGTGTTACATACCTAATGTTTGATAAGTAGTTGTACGTACAGTGGGTTAAATAATGCCAAAAAAGAGAAGTCCACATTATAGGGGTATGGCTGGGGGAATCTTGGGGACTTTGGTGTGAACACATTATCTTAATGGTTAAAAAGAAAAATAAAAGAAACTCCATATTGAAATCTTTGGAGAAATCTGCAATATAATTTGCAATGTAAATTCTGCAACATAAATTCTGACATTTCACTAAGTCAGGGTCACGGAACCTGAACATTTCCTTTTAGCATGACCAAATTACAGTCTTCAAAAAGTATTATTCTTGGGAAAGTACCACAGCAGTTTGAAGAAATATTAAAAGTCATCTGTAAATTCCTAGCCCCAAAAGATAAAAATACTTTTAAGAAATCAATTTACAAAAGAAAAATATCAATTTACCTCATCGAGATTTTTGAAAAGGAGAATATCTTTGCAAGCTTCCTGAAGTCTGCATCTCTGCTGATCAGTTTTAGGATGAACCACCTGCCAATCCAAACAAAATAGAAAAAAATTTAAATTCCAGTGAAAAAAACCTTACTTTATAAGCTGGTATATTTCTTTCTCCTAAAATGTGGGGAAGACTAAGAGCAAGTTTACTCTAACTTTGATTTTATTCCAATACCAAATGCTACCCTGATGGTGGAGAGGCAAATATAACAGGGGTGAAGGGCACTAAACCATGGAGTAACCAACTATGATTGGTAGCAAGTTAGCTACCCCTGGAAGGTTCTTATTCACAAAGAAGAGGGTTACAAATGTGTTCATTCAACAATTATTAAGCATCTACTAGGTGTCAGGTACTGTCCTACCTCTATGGATACAACAGTAAACACATAAACAGGAATACTTGTTATCACACACAATAAATACATAAAACATAAGAGTGACAAGGTTAAGGAGGGGAATAAGGTGGGAAATGGTGAGAGAGAGTGAGAGAGAGAGACACAGAGAGAAAGAAAGAGAGAAAGAGAGAAAGAATATGTGTGAATGGGGGTGGGAAACGAGATGAGGCTTCACAAGCGTGACATTTGTGTAAAAATCTCAAGGAAGTAAGGAGAAACTGAGGGAGTGAGTCATGTGAACATATGTATAGGAAGAACAACTCAAGCAGAAGGAACAGCAAGTGAAATTAAGGTTTTATGGGAGGTGAAGAGCAGCTTGAAAACAACCAGAAAAAACAGGTGTGATTAAAGCAGAGGTGAAAGGGAGAGACTGGGTTTAGGGGTTGATAGAGGTGATGCACAAAACACAGAGGTCACTGTGGGTCATGAAACTGGAACTTTCCTCCCAGTAACACATGGGACAATGTGAGATTTTTAATTGAAGAAGGAAAGAGATCTGAGTTATGTTCTAAAAGGTTAACTACAAATTCTGAGTGAAGAACAGTCTAGAGGGAGGCAAGAATAAAAGTCAAAATGCTTTGGTGATTGTCCTAGTGCCAGATGGTGGTGGTTTGGGTGACAGCCATACAGGAACGGAGAAGTAGTGGTTTTTGGAGACTGAATATTGCAATACATCAGATTTGCTGGAAAATTTAATGTGAGTACAAAAAAGTGAGAAGTAACCTTAGAGACTTGGGCCTGAGCTGAACATTAAAAGAGCTCAGGTTAAGTTTGATTTGTCTATTGAACTCTAAGTGGGTATCACAAATAATCACTGGGTATACTATACAAACTAGAATTCAAACATCAACAATTTCTTATTATCGGTAGTAGTAGTATTTACGAAACTAGGTTTTCCTGAGGATTAAATGAGTTAACATACAATGATTAAAACAGTATCTGACATTTAGAGGGTGCTCAAAAACTGTATCTATTACTGTAGATATTCAATAGCTGTTTATTGAACTAAAAGGAAATAATTACTGCTTGGGTATTGATGCTCTAACTGAGAGAACTATCAAGTTCCTTCCTAAGTACTGTCTTCACCTGAAAAAAGAAAGGTGTATCACTAATCAACAAGAAATAATACATAAAATGTTAATTATAATATACTATAAATCTAGTAAATGGAGTCCAAAAGGTAACAACTAATGGGGCTGAAGTGATAGCACAGTGGGTAGGGCATTTGCCTTGCACAAGGCCAACCCGGGTTTGATTCCCAGCATCCCATCTGGTCCCCTGAGCACCGCCAGGAGTAATTCCTGAGTGCACTGCCAGGACTAACCCCCGTGCATCGCCAGCTGTGGCCCAAAAAGCAAACAACAACAACAAGATAACAACTAACCAGAGCCTAAGAATTAGAGCACACACCTAATTATAGGCAAAAGGCCTGGGTTTGACCCCTGATATTGCAGATGGTCCCCTGACCCCTGCCAAGAGTAACTCTTAAGCAAAAAGCCAGAAGTAGAGTCGAGCATCGCTGGGTGTCCCTGAAATTAACAGATTTTAAAAAGGAAAAAAAAAGAAAAATTCAACTTTCAAAAGCAAAAAAAATACCAAGAATTTTACAATACCTAGAACTGCAAGTTTACAGTTTAAAAATCCGTATTTTTGGGGCTGGAGCAATAGCACAGCAGGTAAGGCGTTTGCCTTACACGCAGCCAACATGGCCAATCCAGGTTCGATTCCCAGCGTCCCATATGGTTCCCCAAGTACCGCCAGGAATAATTCCTGAGTGCATGAGCCAGGAGTAACCCCTAAGCATCGCTGGGTGTGACCCAAAAAGCAAAAAAACAAAAACAAAAACAAAAACAAAAAAACAACAACCCCCCCAAAAAATCCGTATGTTCATACAATGATAGCACTTTATTATTAAAAAACCTTCAGAAATCTTTTATAAATTACTAATTTTGTGGGGGATTGAGAGGGTTCTGCCAAGAAATGTAAAGTACACTACTGGCACTACTCAGCCACTGGGCTGGACGGTTCAATGCTTAGACCCAATGATACTGGGTGGTGCTCAGGCTTTCAAAGCTATACCTGATGATACCTGGGGAGCCATGTGGTGTCACGATTAAAACTCAGGACCTTTGTGTCAGAGGCTACTCATTTTAAGCATACCTTTAAGATTAAATTTTCTCTTATATCAATTTTTTAAAATGATGGATCATATTTGTTTTGATAAAATAATTTATCAGTTGGGCTAAAGCAATAGTATAGCGGGTAGAATGTTTGCCTTGCATGTAGCTGACCTGGGTTTGATCCCTGGCACTCCATATGGTCCCTGGAGCCACCAGGAATATATTACTGAGTGCAGAGCCAGAAGTAATCCTTGAGCACCGCCAAGTGTGGTCCACAAACCAAAAACCCAAACAACGAAAAACAAAACCCCGAGGTTTTTCAAAGCACTCCAAAGGGGGAAATGTATGCCTTGCACACTGGAGGACTTGAGTTTGATTCCCTAGCACCAAATGGTTCCTGTATAAGGTATGACCTCAAATCACGCCCCACTAGTAGCACCATTGGACCTGAACATCACCACATTGCTAGACCCAAATAGCAAATCTTGAGGTCCACATTGCAGGGTAGAGTACTACAGGAGTAATTCCTAGTTCCCCAGAATGTTGGAGGTTTAAAAAAAAATAGCAACCAAAAATTAACCAGTTTTGCCACAACTACTGTTAACACATGGAATACATCCTTCCAAATAGGTTCTTTATATTGGTAAACTTGTGAAATAATTTTGGAAAGGTTTTGTGGGCTCTACCCAGTGGTGCTTGGAGGCTACAGCTTGATGCTCAGAGATTCCTAGTATTTGGGAGAATATGGGGTACTGGATATTGAACCCAGGGTTTCACACATAAAAGGACAAGTGCTCTAACACTGAGCCACATTCCCAATCCTCAAATAATTTTTTTTTTCTTTTTGGGTCACTCCCGGCGATGCTCAGGGGTTACTCCTGGCTGTGCACTCAGGAATTACTCCTAGCGGTGCTCAGGGGACCATATGGGATGCTGGGATTCGAACCTGGGTTGGCCGTATGCAAGGAAAACACCCTACCTGCTGTGCTATCGCTCCAGCCCCCTCAAATAATTTTTAACTTCATAAAATGCTATGTAAAAAGTACTTCATATAAATATCATTCCATGTCATTAAATCTAGCATTGTATGATCATTTCCAATGAGTACATATTCCCCTGATCTGAATGAATCTGAATATAGTCCCTGGAAGTCCCCTATTTTGAGTCATTTAAGTTGTTTCTACTTTTGACTATTATTATACTTAAATGATCTTCACTTGCACATACTTGGGAATATCCAACTGTTTATCAGTTATGAATCATCTTCCTTTTGGTAACTGTTTAGTCAGAACACTTGACTATATTTAAGGCCATGATAGCTACAGCTAGACAACCTTTTTTTTCATTTTTTTGTGGGGGCGGGATTGGTCACAGCTGGCTATGCTTGGGGCTTACTCATAACTCTGCTACAGGGATCACTTCTGGAAGAGCTGAAGGTGCTGGGAACTGAACCCAGTTCAGCCATATGGTAAGAACCCTATTTGCTGTTCTCTCTCCAGGTCCTAGAAATCATTTCCTGCCATAACCACAAACAATGCTGCTTTGTTTCTTCTTCATATCTGCCTGTTAGATTAAAAAAAAATGCATGCTGCTGAAATTTTAATTTGTACTTATTTTAATTATCAGCATAATTAGATCTGAAGTGCAAAAAAAAAATAGAGCAAGAAATAAAACAATTCTAACACCTTTGCTATAGAGTTCTTACCCGTGGATCTGTATCTTCTTCTTCCTCATCAGGATTAAAGGCCTCAGCACAGACTGAATTTGCAGAGAGAAAAAAAGTAAAGAGAAAACTGAGTAAAAACTTATGTGTGTTCATTTGACAGGATATTAGGTAGAAGGCAACCAATTTCAAAACAATATTAGCACAAAAAGCTCAACCTGTAACAATGTTAGTAATTTCTTATACATGGGCTCAACGACTCCAGGGTGAGATACAATCTTCACGCTTTCTTCTAAGGAAACCTTTTTTTAAATTCATTTTTAGAGAATTATGCATAACAAGCAATACAAAATAAATTATTTAGGGCCTGCTATTAGGGCAGGCCTGGGTGGTAGCTGGAAAAATTCAAAATAATGGTGGTGGTAGGTGTAATGGTAGTTGGACTGGTACTGGAATACTGAATGTAATAAATTATTGTGAACAACCTTATATAATAAAATTTAAATAAAAAAAAACCCTATGTGTGCTTTTTTGTTTCTGGGTTACATCCAGTGATGCTAGGGTTACTCCATGCTTGGTACTCAGAAATTACTCCTGGCAGTGCTCAGGATCATCTGGTATGCTGGGGATTGAAGATGGGTCGCCTGTGCCAGGCAAGGATCTTATCCACTGTACTATCATTCCAGCCCCTTATGAGTGCTTTCATTTTTTTTTTTTCGCTTTTTGGGTCACACCCAGCCCATACTCAGGGGTTACTCCTGGCTCTGCACTCAGGAATCACTCCTTGGTGCTTGGGGGACCATATGGGATACTGGAAATCGAACCTGGGTTGGCCGCGTGCAATGCCCTACCCACTGTGCTATTGTTCCAGCCCCTCATTTTTTTTAAAGTAAATTAAATTTTCTTTTATAAATATTTATTCTCTATTTTATTTTTTTGGGGGGGAGGTCCATGCCTGGTGTTCTCTGGGCTCACTTATGGGTCCAGGCTCAGGGATCACTCCTGGTAGTGCTCAACGGACTATATGTGATACTAGGCCCGCTGGAGCAAATCAATGAACACCGGAGAACAGTGCTACAGTTTATCTTCTGGGGCCACACCCAGCAATGCTCAAGGATTACTCCACACTCTGCAATCAGAAATCACTCCTAGAGGTGCACAGGGGTGACCACATGGAGTGCCGGGAATCAAAACTGGGTCGGCCAAAAGCAAGGCAAGTGCCTTACCCACTGTATTATATCGCTCCAGCCCCTGAGGAAATTAAATTTTGCCACAGTTCTCCACCAGATGTCACTAGTAAGTAATATAAAAATACAAGATGACAATAGAAATATCCAGAACAATTTCTTATTCCAAATTTAATTGGTGCTTCCATTACCCAGAAATGTGAATCATTCAAATGTGTTTATGAGAACACCATTTAATTTCTATAAATAAAGAGTGTAGTTCTTGGTCATAGATCTGTGTCCCTGTGTTGCCCTTCAGATTCATGGGGTGTATTATCTTGAACTGCAGTAATAAAATAACAGGGACTGCTCGGTTTCAACAACAAATTTATTTTATCACAGTACTCGGACTAAAGTCTAACAGCAAGATATTGGCAATTTTGTTCCTCCTGAGTCCTCTTGTCTTGACTTGCACACAGCTGCCTTCTCCTCGTGTACTCATTTGGTTTCGTGTGTGCCTTCCTAATATCTTTTTCTCTGCCGGCCCTGAATTAGGATTCCACCCTAATGATCTCACTGAATTGTAATTACCCTGAAATATTTGTGGATAAACATATTTCATTTTACAAAGCTGGCAAATGGTATGATTTCAGCAATATCAAATGGAGATGGGTTAGATGGGGAAAGAGCTGGTTCTTTGAAAAGACCCACTTTCTCTATTAGTTTAATGCTCATTCGGTTCTTACCTTTATATTTCAGTAAGTTATTTTGCTCTGAATGTGTAATGACAACAAAAAAACCCAACAACAAAATTTTTGCATATCTGGTTCAACAAACAATTATAATGTTTTTATTAAAGGTTTTAAAACCAAGAACAGCTTCAAAATTTTTCTGTATATAATTATTACATGTTGAATAAAAGAAATGAATCCTGGTTTTCCAAGTGAAACATTTTGTTAAATAACTTCCTTAAAATTAAAAAGGTTTTTAAAGACTGAACCCAGGTCTCCTGCATGCAAGTAATGCATTTTACCCTTTATTTATTTATTTTTATATTATTTCATTTTATTATTTTTATATTATTTTATTATATTATTTATTTTTTCAATGGCCATATATCGTATTCTACTATTTACATATATGCTGCATTTCCTTTAACCATTCACCCATGAATGAATGCTTAGGCTGCCTACATACCTTTTTTTGTTTGGGGGGGTGGGGTTCGGGCCACACTCAGAGGTGCTTAGATGCTACTGTTTTTGTTTGTTTGCTTTTGGGGTCACACCCTGCAATGCTCAGGGGTTACTCCTGGTTCTGCACTCAGGAATTACTCCTGGCAGTGCTCAGGAGACCATATGGGAAGCCAGGGATCAAATCCAGGTCGGCCATGTATAAAGCAAATGCCCTACCAGCTGTGCTATCGCGCCAACCCCTTAGATGCTACTCTTAACTCGGTGTTCAGCTCCTGGTGGTACTTAAGAGGATGTGTAGAGCTGGGCATTGAAATCAGGCCTCCTGCATGCAAAGCATATGCTCAGCCTTCTGAGCTACCTGCAGCTGTTCGTCTATCTTAACTATTGCCAAGTAATATTGAAACCAATAAGTAGCTGCGGATAGCTTTTCAAGTAAGTGTTTTCAGTTATTTTAGATAAATAACCGGAAGTAGAATTGCTGGATCATTGCTAATAGCTGTATTTTAATTTTTTTCATTTATATTTTTGGTTTTGGAGTCATGCCCAGCAGTGCTGGAGGCTCCTTGGCGGATACTCCTAACTTGGGTGATGGAGATCACCCCCAGCAAAAATCATAGGGTACCAAAGATACAACCCAGAACTTGCACATACAAAGCATTGACTCCAGCCTTTGAAACCATCTCTCTGGCCCTATTTTAAAAATTATTATTATTGATAGTACAGTGGGTAAGGCATTTGCCTTGCACAAGGCCAAACCAGGACTGATTTCTGGCATCCTATATGGTCCAGCCAGGAATGATTACGGAGTGTGGAGTCGGAAGTAACCCCTGAGCACTGCTTGAAGCGGGGCATATGGGGGGAGGGGGGCACAACAAACCAACTATATATATATATAATTTTGGTTTATGGGTGACACCCAGCTATGCTCTCATGAGACCCTGGTAGTGCTCAGGGGATCACATGTGGTATAAGAGATGGAACTCAAGTTGGCTGCATCCAAGGTAAGTGCCTAAGCCACTAAACTATCTCTCAAATCAAATGCCCACCCCCTATTATGTTTTTTGGGGGGGAGTCTTCACAGTTTGCCATATTTGGTACTAATTTGCATTCCCATCAACAGTACACAGAGGTACCCTTTTCTTCAAATACCAGTATTTGATTTTTTAAATAAGTTATTCTAACAAGTATGAGACTCATTGTGGTTTTTATTTAAATTTCCCTGATAATGATTTGAACATTTTTCATATATCTGTCAATCATTTTTATGTCTTTAAAAAATGTGTTCAATTTTTTAATTGCTTTCTTTACCTATTGAGTTGTTATGTATTCATATATTTTGGATACTAACCCCTTATCAGATACATGATGCAAATATTTTCTCCCATTTAGTAGGCAGACTTTTCATTTTATTACTTAGTTCTTTTGCTGTGCAGAGATTTTTTTACTCTATACAATCTCACTTGTTTATTTACACACTTGTAGCCTCTGCTTTTGGAGCAAGATAAAAATTCATCATAAATGGGCTTGGGACACAGCTTAAAATTTTTTTTTTTTTTTTTGCTTTTTGGGTCACACCCAGAGAGCACAGGTGTTACTCCTGGCTCTTCACTCAGGAATTATTCCTGGCAGTGCTCGGGGGACCATATGGGATGCTGGGAATCGAACCCAGGTCTGTAGTGTGCAAGGCAAACACCTTACCCACTGTGCTATCACACCAGACCCGGGACAAAGTTTAGCGATTAGGGTAAAGTGCTAGCTTTTGCAAGTGTGAGGTCCTGGGTTCCTTCCCGCTCCCCCCCTTTATTATTCTAAGCACCACCTAGCAGTGTTCAGGAACTAAGTGAGGGGTGGGGGGGCCGGATTCCTGTAGGGAACTATGCTAGGAAACCATGCAGTGGACCTCTTGCGTGCAAAACAGGTGCTCCAGCCTTTGAGCTATCACTCCAACCTGTTTTCTTCTACGAATTTACTTCTTCAGGTTTTACATACAAGTTTTCAATCCATTTTCAGTTTATTTTTGTGTAATAATTACCTCTTTAAAGGTTCGTTTCTGTGGTTGGAGAAACAGTACAATGGGTAGGGCATTTGCTTTGATACAACTAACAACCAACGGGTTTGATTCCCGGCATCCCATATGGCCCATTGAGCACCACCAGGAATAAATCCTGAGTGTAGAGCTAGGAGTAACCCCTGAGCATCACTGGGAATGATCCAAAACCAAAAAAAGTTTTTAAAAAATTAAAGACTTTATTTTTTAATACAACGATACTAGAGTTAGATATCAACACATAAATCTGAGGGAGGCATAATCCAGTTTGAGTCAGTCTGGGTTTCTAAATCATCTTTAGCAGTGCTTTATTCCTGGTGGTGCCTGGGGCATTGAACTTGGTCAGCAAGGTGAGTGCCCTACCTGCTGTACTATCTTCCAGCCAAAGATAGCTATGGATAAAAAAATACTACACACTGTGAAAGACTATAAAGATACAGTGTTTAAGTACATTGAGAGCCTAAGATATAAAAGGCAGAACAATCTAATGAAGAGTACCATGTAGAAATTAGTGACCAATGGCACCAAATTCTTGGCAAAATATTCTGCTGACTGTGTCACAGCATCACTTCAGGTACTTGCTGCTTAAAAGCAGCATTATGTTCAACAACACATACATTTATGATTAGTGAGCTCTGAAGTTTCAATACATATTTAAGGGTTGGTTTTTTTTTTCTTGAGCAATAATG